ATTCAAAATCCCATATATAAATGTAATGATCACGATAAATACCTTGTGGATCTTAATACATAGATCAAAATAATAGTTTATGGTGTTGGAAAATTAATTTAATTAATTTCCAAAAATGGATTTTCTCCATTTTTGAGCACAAATTTTGGACTCTAAATATAATCAAAACGAGTTATTGATTATATATTCGTGTTCTCCTCCGTGATATCTACGTTTCGATATATCACACGTCCAAAACGGATTGAAAATGAATGAGAAATTACTTGTCAAAGTAGGGCAATTGGAAGAGAAAATGAATGAGTTAAGTGAGTTTAAAACTCATCCCACATTGGTGGGAGAATGAAAAGAAAATTGGTTTATAACTACAAAGACTAGCTATCTTTGTAAGACTTATTAGAACCAAGGCTCTCTCTTGCGCGCGCACGCACGGGGGTGCAAATGCGAGCCAAGTTGGCTTCGGGCCACTGAACTTGTGTGTGAGCACGCGTCCTGCGGGCACGAATGCACCACCGGTTGACCAGAAAAGTTCAAGGGCCTTTTTTGCATTTTTCCTTTTGGTTAACAGTTACAAAAACGAATTAAGAGCACTTAATCATAGATTTCGGTTTTGATTTCTTGATTAATTTTCTTATTTAATTGTGACAATTACGATTTCGTTTTAATTACATCAGTTACATTAGGTAGTATATATACAATGCCTATGTGACTGATTCCATACACCGGATGAAACGAAATCACTCTCTTCCTCTCTTACGCTTCTGCTTCATCTCTTCTCTCTTGCTGCAACCAAGGTATAATTCGGGCCAAGTGAGGGTTCGGGCAATCTAGAAGAATTGTTTTCTACTGTTGTATCCTAGGAAACAAACACCCATATAGGGAGAATTTGTTTTAAGGAAACTGTGTTAAACACAGGCCTCAGTCAAGAATTTTATAGTTTTGTTCTTTCGTACAATTTTGGGTTATATTTTCCTAACATATGGTTAGCATATCCTATTCAATAAATTTTACTACTAAAAGTTGTAAAAATGCCAAATATATGTTTGAAGTATTGACATATGTCTATGGTATGGATAAAAAATGCAACTAATCGAAGTAATGCAAGAATGAGAACCTATCCAGGAGAATGATGTGAGACACATATGATGTGAGACATAAATGGCGGAAAAGTTTGAGGATCTACTAGTTTGATAGTAACATAAATGTCTCTCAAAGGAAAGTTCAAACGATAACATCTACATATCCTTTACATGGTTCAACTATTGGGTTTTATCTGGGTAGCTTGAAAATGTTTTGGTCAATTTTCATTCATGTGGGGAGTTGTTAGAAAAATGGGTAAACTAAAAATGGGTTTTTCCATTTTTAACACAAATTCAGAACCCTGTATATTATTAAAATGGATAATGATTGTACATTTGTGTTCTTCTCCATGATACGTTCGTTTTATATATTAAACATCTAAATAGAAATCCAGATGAATGAGAATTAAACATCAAGTTAAAATGGTTGAAATAGTTTGATGAGAGACTTAATGGGTTTTAAACTATCCCAAATGTGGGAAAGTGGAAAGGAAACAAGTTTATTAGGCTTGTAAAAGGTCTTCTCTTGAACACGTGGCGGATGAAAATGTGAACCCAAGTGACTTTGGTTCACTAAACTTAAGGGTTTTTCGTAATTGAAACTTTAATGCAATCTCGGGAGTTAAACTCGTATTAAACATTGATTCCGGTCACAATCTATGTTTAATTTCCAGTTTAATGCTTTGATTATGTAATCACAACATATTCACAACAATTTTGGATATGCAACTTGACTCTCTCATTTTCTACCTCTGCTTCTACACTTTGTTGTTTCTATCAAGGTAAAATTTGGGATTACCTAGGTTTGGCGGTTTAGAATAATCGTTTCTAGCTATTCTATCATGTTAAACAAACTTCTAATTACAACGAATTTGTTTTAAAAGGTTATGTTAAGCACACATATCTTATCAATTTTGTTGTTTTGTTGTTCATTCGTGCAAATTATCTTCCTTTACAACCAACATAGAAAGGGAATATGACTTAGACAAAATTGCAAGAATGGTCCCTGTGTTTAGGTCGAAATTGCCACTTTGGGCCAAACAGGTTTGGACTAGCACTTATGGTCCAAAAGTTTTCATTTTCTTGCCACTTTGGTCCACTTTACTTTAAACTTTATTGTAATGACGATTTTGCCCTTGGATTTTGTGTTTTCAGTTTTTTATTTATTTAACTACTTTTATAATTAAAATAAAAATAAAAAATACACACATCTCTCTCTCTCTCTCTCTCTCTCTCTCTCTCTCTCTCTCTCGGTTTATGGATAAGCTGAAAGGGTTAACGGAGAGTAAACTAAACCAAAATCAATAACAAAACTCAAACCAGTTTCCAAAAAATCAAAGTGGTGGCTCCGATGAAATCTAAGGAAGGAAGAAGTGGGAACAAGATCAGGAACCCGATCGGAGTTTGCATCTGTTGGTGGTTAACGATTCGATATCGGAGAAGTAGGAAATCAAACATGTTTTCATCTTCACCACCACCCGAATCAATTTTTATGTGTGACACTCGAACCCAAAAATCATTTTTTTGGATCTGATGAACTGACCTTCACCACAATCTAAATTGATTTTTATGTGTGAAACTCGAACCAAAACAAACAACAAGATCCATATTCCAAACATAAGGGAGGGAGGGATGCTGAGAGGAGATGAAATCGACTTTGATGATCTTTTTCCCAATCCAAAACTAAGTGTGTGTGTTAATTTCCAGATCTTCATATGTCATCATCAACTTACAGAAGATCTGAATCCGATTGCTCCGATCACCTCCATTAATGTCGTCCGTGTCTCCTTCTTTCCTTCTTCAAACTCAATTGCAGGTCACACTTAAGAGGACGAATAAAGTGACCCTTTATTTTTTTTTCCCTTTTTTTGTTCGATCGCAGGCGACAATTCTCTGTTCAATCACAACCCCTCATTCTTCAACCTTCTTCTTTCTTAATATTTTTTGAGTTGCAGTTTGATCAGAAGAGAAATGGAAGAACAAGGAAGATGGGGATGATGGGTTCTCGATGGTGATGATTTTTCGTGGTGGGTTGAAGATGAATATGATGGTGATTGTGTGAAGGCTCGATTTTTCTGGTCACAATTAGTATTTTTGGTGGTTTGGCGGTGGTGACCGAAGGATCTACTTTGATAGAGATGGGAGGGGAGTATCGGGCGTTCTTCATGTTCTTAAAGGTGGATCTATGTGCTTGTGTGTGAAATGAGAGAGAAGAGAGAGAGAGAGAGAGAGAGAAAGAGAGAGAGAGGGTAGGGGGAAGGAGGGGGAGAGAGAGAGAGAGAGAGAGAGAGAGAGAGAGAGAGAGAAAGAGATGTGTATTTTTAGATTTTTATTTTAATTATAAAAGTATAAAAAACTGAAAAAACAAAATCCAAGGGCAAAATCGTCATTACAAAAAAGTTTAAAGTAAAGTGGACCAAAGTGGCAGGAAAATGAAAACCTTTGGACCATAAGTGCTAGTCCAAACCTGTTTGGCCCAAAGTGGCAATTTCGACCTAACCACAGGGACCATTCTTGCAATTTTGTCTATGACTTATTAAGGTAATTAAATTTTTGGTTTGTTCACATCTAGGTAACTATTATATTTTGTACACATCTAGGTAACGAACTTTTTGGAAGTGTTCACATATGGCCATTATCACCGCCTGTAGCAGGTTACATCCGATCATAGTGGTTATATTTGAACATTTTCAAAAAGTTCGTTACCTAAATATGTAAAAAAAAATAGTTATCCGGACATAAACAAATTAAAAAGGTAAGAGTAAATTACATGAATGGTCCCTGTAGTTTGGGTTAATTTGTACGTTTGGTCCCAACCTTATTTTTTTTAACTTGGATGGCCCTAATGTTTATTTTTGTTGCGCGCTTGATCTATGTCTTACCTAAAAAGACTATTGTACCCTTAATAGTTTGATTTTTAATTAATTTTCTTATATATGTATTTATTGTTTATATATTTAAAAAAATTAATAGACCCCACAGATGAAGGTCATAGATGAAGGTTGACCCGTGATTTTAATTTTTTGTATACAAATTAAAATATTCAATATTTCTGATGATGAATGAATCTTGAAATATCTTTCTAGTCTTATATAAAACTTTCTTTATAAGTATAATAGTAAATTATACAATCCCTATTGTTTAAGGTAGTTTGAATATTTGGTCTAATTTTCTTTTTTTAAACTCGGACACTCCCTCGTAAATTTGTTACATATTTCATCCCTAATAGTTTAACCCAACTCTCATGATACCAAGAAAAAAGAGGTGGAAAAAAAATACTCAATCGGTTGTGTTTCAACAGAGAAGATGACCGAAGGAAGAGGTGGTGCACAAAATACTTGAAATGACAAAAAAACCCTTGCAAAGCACGTGGGACTTTCTAGCATAAAAATGACAGATGGTTAACACAAAGACCAAGCATGTAATGAAATTAGAACTTGAGGACCGCACAAGCTAAAAATATGAGTTAGGGACTGACACATAAATAGCACCAAACAACGAGGACTATTTGTGTCGTTTACTCTAAATATAAAGAACAAACTTTTCTACTGAAATGTCCACTCATTCATTCCTTCATTTATCATTTGTATACATCTCATAAAAATGTCATTTAAAAATCTTGAGATGATAAATAACACTTTACACTTTTAGCAAATTACAACAATATAAAAAAGTATCAACAAGAATTATGTGTTCATAGTATCACAAACTCTCATTAGATTTCATGCACAAGGTAGCAAAAATCAATTCTTTTTGCTATGTAACCTGTAAACCAAAAACACTAATACAAACACACATATATCCAACATCTAAATGTTACAAATCAACTAGAGACTAATATCACATGGATCCTAGCATGCATCAAAATGCAAACTATAATTAGACTAAAATCAATACAAATGACTATTGAACATCAAGAAATGATCAAAAACATGGTAAATTTTCCATTGATTTCAAAAAATTAGATGTTGAATAGATGGCAGCTGCAGCTGCTTTAACAGCTAAATCCTTGTATGGGCTTGTTTCTGTTTTTCCAACTCTGTATTTCAACAAAAAACAATATGAGATTCATTAATTTCAATTCATTTTTCCAAAATTACAACATTTTCTTTTTCCAAAATTTCAACTTGAAGAATAAGCAATCACCTGCAGTCCTTTTCTGGATGAAATTGAAGAAGACCATGCTCACAATGCATCAACATTTCATTTACTTGGTTCAATGAACTCTCCTACAAAATATAATGTTCAATTACCGATTAAAATACTCAAGAAATTAGAAAAATAGCATAAATTAAACTCGAGGAATCAGAAATAATAGTATACCAGATGTTTCTCTTCTTCACAAAGGGCATTATCCATCTGATCAAAAAGAGTACCCCATTTTGCTCTATGTAAATCAGCATTTCCCTTGTTAAAGTGAATGTTTTCAGAATTTTTTACATCATAGCATTCATTTTCTTGATTATGACCCAACTCTCGTGATACCAAGATAGGTAATTCTGTTTGAATTACAGCTCGAACTCTTTTCTTACTTCGCCTTAATGCTGTAAAAAAAGATTATTTGTGTAAATATAATTATATATAGCTTAACCAAAAATATGTTTTCAAGAACAAGAATGTTAGTTACCTGCAAGACGACCTTTAATGTCCTGAAGAAGAAGTTCTAACCATTGAGAAGCTACATTTGCAGCTGCAAAAAGACAATGATACCCTTTATATGTCATGATAAGAATTGAACTGGGATCCCATTATCTTGAAAAGAAATTGCTTGAAATTAGGCAAAAATTCTTTCTTTAACTTAGTTAACTAGTGAATTACTAACATGGTTAACAAGATTCACTAAATTATAAGAAAGGAGACTAAGAACTTACCTTTAAAGGAAAGTGAATCGACTGTTGACATATTTCCAGACTCTTCATTGGACAAATGGCCCATATTCACTGATTCCATGTTTGCTGATGATGAGAGTTTCAAGGCAAGAGTATCATCTTCACAATTTACATTAGCATGGTGTCCTCTAAGTTCATCTGATTGACACCCATAAGAATCCTTCCATGTCTCATTTTCCAAACCCTTTTGCTTGCTTTCACCATGTTTGTTTTCAGTTCTTGCAGATCTCACAAGATTCTCAATTATAGAATGAACCTGTTTTCGGTTTCTTACATGGTTTATAATCCCAGGATTCAATTCATTCAAAAGCCCACTTGGAGCAGCGACTTTAGCAAATCTGTCGACTTGTTCTTTCTTTGCGATTTCTATCTTTTTCTTGATCAATGACTCGTTCCCTTTTTTCCTCCCGCGTGATTTGGGGACAGGTGGCACAGGTACGCCCCCATGAGAAGATGATAGAAATCCGTTTTGTTTCATTTCTTTCCATACTCTCATGGAGTTTTGTTGTCCTCCCAGATTACAAGTGCTTCCACATTCAGATAACGAATCTCGGGGTTTTACGTGTTTGTAATCGTTGTAGGGATGAAAAAGATCGTTACTGATAGAACTAGAAACATCTTCGGTGTTGAGATCGAAACCAAAACCTTTTGGTTTTACACAATTAATCCCGGATTCAAATTGGGTTGTGTCTTCGATACATGATGGAGCTTCGTATTTGGTGCTGAAATCAGATGCTGAAGCGGTGTTGACTTTTGCTTTCCCTAATTGAGAAGAAATTTGGATTCAGATCAAGATTTGGACTGTAATTTTACCAAATTTTAGTTCAGATGTCATCAAATCTAATCAAATTCTATCCAAAACCCACAAAAACGAACTCCTAAACTTGGAATTTAAAGTTCTCGTGTACCATTTAACCAAATCAAACTCTTCGAATTCAAGAATATTCAAATGATTTACCTTCGGAACGAAGAACGGACTCTAGGTCTCTAATTTTTGCTCTTTTAGGTCCGAGTTCTGGCAATGCTACAAATTCTTCACAACGCCTCTTCTGCACCCACCATCAGCAAACAAAATCAATCCCACAAATCGGATAAGATCAACAAAATTTATACCAAAATGGATTCAGTTAAGAACAAGTTCAGAAAGAATGTACAAAAACAAACCTTGGATTCAGATCCGGCTACAACACAACCATCCATCGGTAAGCAAATTGAATGAGGTGCTTAAAAAGATTTCTTTTTTCATATAGATCTCTACCAGTTTCTGCAAAACTCAAATTGAAGATCGAAAAAATCAAGCTTTCATATGTAAAGAGGAGAGATTGATGGCGTCTAGGATTAGGGTTCAACGTTGAGAGGAAAGAGGCGCTAACTGGTAATTAATGTGGGTTTTGCAAGTAAAGAATTTGATTTGAATTTGCAGAAAAGCGCGCTGACAAGTGTTTCTCCCGTTTGCAGATTACTATACGATTTAAACGAGTAATTCCATTCACACGTGTTGCCTTTCATTTAGGGTCCTCTTAAAAATATTCAAATCACATCTATGATGTATGCATAGTTACAACCACTTGAAATCTTCAATTTTAACTCATGAACCTGAGTTAGAGAGTCATGACACTAAAAATTAAAAAAAAAATTAGGAAAATATCTTATAAAGTTTTAATATTTTTTGTTAGTTTAAAGTTTTATTTTAATATTTATTTTTTGAATAGAAAAATTTTGATTATCTAATTTTATACGATAATACATCATTTTTGTTAAAAAAAAATAATAAAGATTGTTACGTTAAATTTGACAAATATAAAATAATCAGAATTTTTTCTATTCAAAAAATAAAATTTTGAATTAAATCGTAAATTTATCCAAAATATTGAGAATTTATCAGAGGTGTCCCCAAAATTATATATAACATTATGTATAAACAAAATGTAAGCCGATTATTTAAACACATTTACTAATATGTTACAAATTCATTGGTTAGGGGTCATATACATCATAAAGTATTCAAAAAATAACTAGTGCTTTAGTAACAAAGCAAATGACAAAAAAAAACTTTGTGTGTTTGAATCATAAAACTAAATTCAGGAATAAAGTGATCATCGTCATCTTGTGTAAAGACCTAATTTTTTTAAATATAACATTAAAAAGCCAGTTGTTACCCTTTTAAAAATAAAATTTATGTTCTCAAAAAACATTCAACCACATTGAAAAAAATATTTCTAAAAAGATTGTTGAAGCAAAAAATATCACAGGTTAACAAATTGTCATAATAATAACTTAAAATCTTCAAGAGAATGTTGCATACAGTCACACCGGTCTCTTTCACTTCTCAATACTTGACGATCCTGAAAAATGTTAAATAACAATGGGTAAGCATAACGCTTAGTGAGCATACACATTACTCTACCATTATATAAATCACTTACTTACACATAGCATAACATTTCACATAAAACATAAACATAAACATTCATAGCACATAATGTTAGTACCAACTCTACATCAGTAGGTTAATTCCCCTGAAGGGTCTATCTCAGACACTACCGTATTGGGACTAATCACTTCCCCCGAAGGGTCTGTCATGATCATCCATACCTTAACCACTTCCCCCGAAGGGTCTATCATGGTCAAGAACATGTCCCTGTCCACTCTACCAGATTAGGGTATCCGTGGACAACATACACATACATCAAGTAATGCCTACATAATAAGAGAGTTAGTGTAACTCCCCTCTTTTGATAACAACTTGAACACTCTAATTGCAATAGTTAAATGAACTTCCTCCTTTTTGAACACCTGCACAAACAATTATAACATTTACTTAACTTGTAATTCATAACTATACTTTAAAATACTTATCTTTGTATTACTTTAACTTTTCTTTGATTATAGTGTTCTGTTCGGGATTTGATTTCTTAACTTTAAATTCATGATTAGGTTCTGATAAAATTATATTTGTATAGTTCCCTCTCTTACCTTTCTGGGAATATAAAGATCTCGTTTTCACGATTTGTGGTTGATTTTATATTAATTTTACAAGTTAGCCATTTTGAGTTGTTACTTTCTGGACACACATGCAAATGTGTTAAATTTACTTAGGAGGTTTAAGATTTAAATCTTATGAAAAAATCATGGTATATTAGACATTATACCCTAACCATATCCTCTGAGGTTTCATGAATTGGAGTTTTGTAGAATTAATTATGCACATCAAAAGTTGATGTTTAAACAAACTCATGCCTTATTCCCGTTAGCTTTTATGAAAGAAAAATGAATTTTACATTTCCAGCCCCTTATTTTCCCATAATGACACTTTCTACCCTAAAAAAACAATTTTCTTGACAAATGACAGCTTTTATCATTAACACTTTAAGCCCTTTTTCTAGAAATGATTACAGATCCCTTCATTATACATTTATTAATTAATTATTATTATTGTTGTTGTTGTTGTTGTTGTTATTATTATTATTTATTTTTCTTTAATTATTATTTAATCACTTTAAATTTTACATAATGCCTACTACTTATATAATTCACTTATAAAACCTTAAAATTTATTTTCCATTTCCACAATAATCATAATATTTATTAATTAATTTTTCTAGATAATTAATCGAAAACAAGATGCTACATTTTCATCTTCATCTTCAACCACCATTGTCTTATAGAAACCAGTATCATCTTCTTCATCCTCATCCTCGTCATCTAAGTCACTTTGTTCACGTTGAACCTTGGTCCCACAAATAAGTAAAGCTTGTATTTATTAAACTTGATACTTATTAATATTATAATATATAATCACCCTTTTGTATAATTTACCTCTCTTCCTTTTATTAGTATTGGTTTCTTCATCCTCTTTAAAACATTTATGAACATCCATCCATGAGATATCTTCGTGGAGACATACATCCTCCTTTTTCGGTAATCCATTCATCATCTTACTCCATGTTCGACAAACATATTAGATCATAGGTCTCCTATCTTTCTTTTCTCTTCTTGGAGTCATGTATCAAGGTTGATGTTGTATTTCACAAACACCAATGCATTCAACCTTTGTTGCTCCAAAAGGTTCCTCTTCTTGGAGTGTATATGGTCAAAAGTGCTCAAATTTTTCTCACATTCTGTGGCACTACATGTGAGGCTCAATACACGAATAACAAGATGCTCATAACTTCATCACCATTTAGCTACAATCTAATAGAACAAATAAGTAATAAGTAATAATGTAATTGTTATATATTTTACCGGGTTAAATTTTCCCTAAAAGTTACCAGGTTGCATTTTCTTCCTCATTAACACGGATTCGAATATCCCAAACATCATGATGCTCTCATTGAACTTTACAATTTGTTCATGAATTGTCACCATTGTTGGCATATCATACATCCTTTAATGACGCCATACAATCCACATTTGACTTCTTTATCGGCATTAAAGTTCTCCTCGAAATGAAGACTAGTTTATAAAATAAAAAAAGTAAGTGCTTAGTCGTAAATAATTAATGTTAATGAAATAATAAAAATATATACATAGGATTAAGATAATATCTCACGGAATGAAGTTGCATATTCCACCTAGGATTAATCTTCCCCTGATAGGTTTATATCTTGACTCGACACCATGGAAGTTCTCTTTTATTTGTTCTTTTACACGATCCATAGCTTCATATATATACCCCATTGTCGGTTTGACATCACTATCCATAAGTCTCAATACCTTAAAAATAGGAACTACACAACTCAAACAATATTTTATAGCCTTCCAAAATTTGACATCAACCAAAATAATACTTTCAGTTACATTCTTTTTATTTATAGAAGCGAAGGTGGATGCGGCCCAATCATTAGAAGCAATAATTGTTGAATATTATATTTTAACTATTGAAATCTTTTCAATGTAAGAAAAGAAGTAACAAATCGTGTTACTCCGGCTCGTGTTAATTCAAGACCACCGGTGAACCTTCTAAACAAGGTTAAAAAAACACAATGTCTATAAATATAAACGGTTACTTTTCGTGCTTTATCTGAGGTGTATTTGATAGCTTTTCCACCTCCTATGTCTTGCAACATCGATTGATGACAAAGCAATGCTCACATCGTGAAAACTAGATAGTTATAGATTTTTTTTATCATCGATTGATGATCTCATTCTGCTCAGTTTGGGTCTAATCAAAATCTCTATTGGGATGTTCTTAACTCCTCAAGAGCCTATTTAGGTGACCACAATGATAAGGACAAGGGTGGGACAATTAAACACACCAAGACCAAGAATTTTGCATCATTCATGACCTCTCCTTGTGTGTGACTTGTAGGATAAAAAATGATTTATAGGTAGATGTTCTTATTTTCTGGAAATCCAGATATGAACCACCAAGAATATGCTAAGGGAGAAGCTCTATGAATTCCCGCCACAAGTCCACCAATTGCACCAAAGAGTTCACTTTTCTTCTTCACTTCAACACACCACCAAGGGCAAGAACCCTAGAACTCTTTCTCAAGAAGACGGAGGCTTATGATAGGGTTTGTTGGCGGCAAATGAGAGGTTAATTCTCGATTAGGGTTAAGTGTGGTATAAAAATGAGTCTATCTTTCATGTAGGCCCCTCAAAGTGTGTAAAAATGACCATATGACACATATACATAATCAAAGAACCATTTTCTACACTTTAGCCCCCTTAAGTTAACTTTAATCAATAGAAAAGTAACTTAACATGAGAATGTAACGGAATTAACCTCAATGGCAAAGTGGGAGAAATTAGGGTCGTTACAATTGTTATTAATATATATATATATATATATATATATATATATATATATATATATATTAAAGTTATCCTACCTTAGCAACAGTAAAGTGGCAGCTGTTTTGTTTATTTCACCCCTTGTACTTATACTTCTCATTTCTTTTATCTTTGGTCCTTCTATTTTATGTATTTGTCTTTAGTGCCTTTTTTTTCATTATGTCATTTTGTAGGTTGTTGGTGTACAGGTGGCCTCACCGTTTTGTAGGTTGTTGGTGTACAGGTGGCCTCACCGTTTTATCGACCAATCAAGCTTCGATTTTTGGCTTTATCAACAGTAGATAACATGTACGCATTTACAGGGTGGTTGGTTTCATTCTCTCAAAATGCTTTCCATCTCCAACCTCTGACGAATGTAGACGCCACCGTAATCGGAGATGAGGCTAATCGATTGTAGGGTCTGATTTCTGCGTGGAGAAGATTGACCGGACTTCAAAGCACGAAATAGAGACAATGATGGAGGCATAGTGAAAGAAAAAAATAGAGACCTTCTTTCTTTTACACCCTCGATTCAAGGTTTGATTTCCGTCTCTTTAACCCATTATTATTATTATTGTTGTTGTTGTTGTTGTTGTTGTTGTTGTTGTTGCTGCTGTTGTTGTTGCTGCTGTTGTTGTTGTTGCTGCTGTTGTTATTGCTGATGCT